GTAATTGAAAAAAAGAAGACACGCTACTGATAACCCACACCATCACAGATGATAATCTTAACATGCGATGAAGCAAGTAAGAATGATACAAGTATTTCATTTTAGTATTACAAATCAATTATTATCACAACTGCCCCGCTAAGGACCGACTTATTTTGCACAAAAAACTGCTACTTAAACGTTTGGGAGTTCTTTTCAGATTTAATTATAAACAACTCAATTTATAATGATTCTTGGAGGGCTAGAGGCCTCAAAACTCAGTGCACAAACCTGGAGTTTTGAAGCAGAATCATTTGCGATTCAGATACAACACAAGCCGGTACCTAAGGACGCGCTTGTGATAACCACAACCTCTAACAACTAACCACACAGCCGCCTTTGAAACAAACTATAGAGTAAAGATACAATAAGGCTAACTATAGACTATATCTAAACTCTATAACAACAAAATTGTAATTATTGGCAACGAAAAAAGAAATGAACAAAGGAAAATAGAATGGAAGACTTATGACATTGAATGTGAGCGAAATTACGGAATTGATACAAATATTAGTAAAAAGGGACAGTAAAGACCTCTCACTCATTCATCTTCATCATCGGTAACCTCTTGCTTGAGTTCTCTCAATCGGTTTCGGTATTGAGTGATCTTGTTGTGTTGATCGGCAAGAAGCACTAAAAGATCTTCTTGCTCGGATTTGAGAAGAGCAAGTTCCTGAAGAACAGCAACTTTGCACCAACAAACAAGATGCCACTAGAACATTGACTCAAAAGTCGACTTGAACACTGTTAACAGCTCACCGAACTTCCTTCAGTTCCATTTTCTAACGCATTTTCTTCCTTCTTCTCCTCTTTCTTTGCTGCTAGCTGCGCTTCGGCTGCTTCCGCTTTCGCCTTCCATTCTGCACACTCGCTGGCGTACTTTGCTGTCTGAGAAATTTATTTTAAGATGTGATCATTTTTCAGATATGTAACGCACCGCTTTACTGTGTTCTTCAAAAGCTTGATACCCGTATGCAAGCTGCTGCTCTAGCTGTTGTACCTGTTGTTGCAGATAAGCGACAGCAGTTTCCGTGGGATTTGGAAGCTGCAAAAGTGTTTATCAAAAAAATCAAATATAAATTTTTATTTAGTAAGGAATGTGCTCATAAAAAGTTACGTTAAACATTAAAATGAAGACAACAGAAAAATCATGAACCTACTTGCGCTAATTGATACTGCTGCCATTGCTCTGCCCATTGTTTATATTTTGCGGCTTCTGCACGCCACTGTTCATTTACCCTATACACTTACTATTCATCACTCAAGAGACAGAATTAGAGTATGTATATCCTTACCTATACATTTCTTGTATCTGTAATTGAATCGATTCATTTTGCGCATTGGCGACACGACTTTCTTCAAGTTTCTTCCTTACATCTTCGAGTTCGTGCTCCAGTTGGGTCTTGTCATTCTAAACAATTAGTA